TTATACCGCTAGCTCCGTTTACTGCCAAGTTTTGCCAAAGTACGAAAAGGAGCACCTATATAAGCATATTTATGTTTTCACACCACCATCGGCCAACTGTCTGAATAGTAACTAATGTAAAAGTATCCCGCCATACCGCCAGCGAACTGAATGCCAGAGGTACACACTACACGCGGCACACAACACCAACTGGTTAGCCACTTTATAATCTTTCTCCCTCGAGAAAGACAGACAAAGAGAGAGAGAGAGAGAGAGAGAGAGAGAGAGAGAGAGAGAGAGAGAGAGAGAGAGAGGGGGGGGGGAGACATAAGACTCTCAGCTCTGGATGTATTATGTGCACGTACATGTGTATAGATCTATACTTAGATCTACTTACTTTTACTTTTTCATCCTCTGTTGCCGTTTAGCGTAGAGGGGAGATGCAGTTTTCTATGGTAGGCCATCTCCGCAGCTCTTTCAGTTGTGAAGTGCATATGTATATTACCAACAAAAAGACACTTTTCAAACATAGATCGTACTGCAGAATCATACTCCTTGACGTTGGACAGTCGGGGCTATACAACTGGGGAACCCTGTTGAACCACCAACCTCGCTGTTCCGCCAACTTCGGGCTTGCCCCAAAGCTGGTGGTATAGTGAGGTTTGATTGTATTCTAAAAAAAAAAAATTCTTAAGTAACTCTAATCTATTCTACCTTTTCTGGGTATCCAATAGAACTTCTTGTCATGCTATTTCCAGATTGCACTATGATTTATAATGTAATAATTTTATTATCCGGACACGAGAACTGTTGGTAGCGTTGATAAAGTTATACATATTCGGGGGGTGAGGTTGCATGTGTAATCCCATCACCGAAACAGAAGTGTGCAGTTTAGCACACACAAAAAATATAATTTAAAAAAAAAACAGGGTTAAAGATATCGACTAGTTGTTGTTGTGTTGCTGGACAGTTTCAAAATATTGAATTTTAATCATTATTTTTCTTTTTCTTGTACAACAGAAATCAGGTTGATTGGCTGGTAAAGGATATCAACATAGGATCGATAGAAGAAAAGGCTATTGACATCGACATCATACAGACAATTCTAGAGGTTCGTTTAGCCCTCTCGAGGCAGCCCTACTACTACATTGTGGGGACCATCATACCACTCATCTTTTTGTCGTGCCTTAATCCTTTCGCCTTTCTACTACCTGTGGATCATGGTGAGAGAATCTCGTTCTCCGTCTCTCTGCTGCTTTCCTACGCCGTAACTTTGGCCAGTCTGACAGACATGATGCCTAGCTCTAGCAGTACTGTGTGCTACATCAGCATACTGTCCAGCGTCAGTATGTTCACCAGTGTCTCCATTGCTCTACTTGTTATCATAACCGCCCGGGTCGCCACTTGGGAAGGTCAAAGTACCAACAGACAGTTGTGGACCTTCTTAGCCAAGTTTGTGTGTTGGAAAAAGATCAACCGGGTGAATACTAGAGGAGACCAATCGGCTTCAAAAGATAATAAAGCAGTCCAAAGGAAAACTCAGCATGTGGAGAGAGAACAAAATGAGAGTCTTTTCAGAGTTCTTAATTTTGAGGATGGCAAAGAAAAGCCAGCTGGTACAAATAATATTTCTCAAAGTCATAACAATGCTGGAGAAACATCTTTCAGACAGAGCAATTCTTTGACGTGGTATGAAGTTGCTTTCATTATGAACAGGGTTGCCTTTTTTGTCACATCGATTTCAACTATATTTTTCGTGACAGTGGTCATGTTAATGATCTCTTTATAATTAATATACATGTATCTGCTTGGTTACGTCTGGGTCTGCAAAATCCTCGTGTTTGGTGTACATATCATTAATGTAGTAGTATTTTCCTGAAAACAATACCGGTAGTCCGGTTGTTATCACACTGGCGTGTGTCATTAAACTGAAAGACTTCTCTAGAAATCAGGATAATTGGTTCTATCGACTTTTATCTTGAAAACCCACGTCGGAATTGTTGGTGTATTTGACGCTGGTATCGCCACTGATACGAAAACAAGGCATGGCGCGCTCCATGAGTCCACAGGGACCGACCAAAAGACACAGAGACACAAATACACTGATGAACATTTCTACACGGTTTTATCATTAATTCCCGATTGCATAAACGTTAGAGATGTTTTATGTGGTGCCCCAAATTTCTCAAGTCATCTAGGTTTTTCATTTGGTTTTATTTCTTTTTAAAAAATTTGTTTCTTTGTTTGTTTGTTTGGTTGATTAGTTGTTTGGTTGTTATTTTGTTGTTTTTGTTTTGTTTTTGTTTTGTTTAGGGTTTGTTTTGTTGTTGTTGTTTTTTGTTGGGGGGGGGGGGTTTGGGGGGGGGGGCGGGGGGGATTTTAATTTAACAGGATCAGACTCGAGAACGTGATCGGAAACAGCTCGTTCGACTGTGCCTAATAAGTACGAGCAACTGTTGTAGAGAAAACATAATGTTCTCCCCCACGGTCTTGGGGAAGACAACAGTTGAGAAGAAAAACAAGCAAAACGCTTAGGCGCCTGTCCTGTATCAGCTTTTACTTGGTTCGGGAGGGGGGGGGGTGTCTTACTTCTGGACCTGTGTTGCCTGTGTATCACTTTCGGCAATAAAATTAAATATCGATACGAGTTATTATTGCTTGTAAAATCTCAGTCATGTCGAAGTAACTTTGTTCAAACTAGTCTGTGGCTTACTTTTTTTTTTTAATCACTTTAAGTTAATAATTTAATCAATGTATACACAGATATGTCAAGCATGTACATAGCGAAATTGGTGAGACAAAGATTTGTGCGTACTTTAAATTCAAAGAATAAAATGTATATATTACAACATTTTGGACTGAGTATCTGTTCGCTATGTGTGTGTTTCGCTCTGCGTGTGTTTTCTATGGAAAAAAAGTAACCGTCCTTAATTTCAGGCCTAATTTTGAAAAAGTTCTTATCGGCCTTGTAAATTATTTTAGCATATTTAAAGACAGAACGATATGTAAGGTCATGTTCTGACCAAAAGGTCATTGTATACGCAAATAACTCAAGACAAGAAGGCCACCACCCAAAAAAAACAACGAAAAAAACCCAACGATTTGAGCATAAGTGGGATGAACTTGATCGAAGACTCCGTAAAAGGCCAGTGCAACCAAGAAATCTTCTCGAATTAGCGCAAGCTTTGCAAGAGGGGTGGACCAACGTGTCTCAAATCAAGATCCAAAGAATAATTAGCTCAATGAGACAAAGATGCTAGGCTTTTATTGCTGCACAAGGCGGGCGTACTATTTATTAAAACCACGCTCTAAAGAAATACATGCAATTTTCCTCAAATCGTGTTTTGCGTTTTTTGGGAGGTGGTCTTCGTGTCGTGAGTCTTTTTTGTATAAACTGACGTTTTGTTAAAAAACAACAACTAGTCTTACATAATGTTTCGTCTTTAAATAAGCTAAAATAATTTACCAGGATTTTTAATGTAGCGCGATTATAACCTTTTTCAAAATTACGCCTAAAAGCTATGGACAGTTACCTTTTTCAGAGGGTATGTATATTTATTAATTTTTAAAATTATTTTTTTA